GAATTTACCAACACCAGACCAGTTCTCCAAATTTTGTTCCAAGAAGTCAAGAGAGAAAGAAAACAAATCCCTAAAAAACGTTTAGTAACTAAATAAATTGCATTTAATAAACTAGCATGCATTTGAGAAAAACAAAACAGGAAAATGTAATAATAGTGAGTAAAATCCCAAGAATAAGAACAATATACTTAGGTTAATAAACGTGTTTTATAAGATATATATGTATCTATGTTTTTTAAGTATTTTTCAAATCTGTAAATACACACACACACACATAAAATGAATATTTACCAAAATCTTATGGCCATAGGTCATTAGTATATCCTTTTTACAGAACAGAGAAAAATTCATGTGGACAAGCATAATGCGGTGCTGTCAGTTTTTACTTTACATAGGCTCCTCCCACCCTTTTTAGTCTTTAACCATCCCTAGCAAGTGCTTGCCAGAAAGAGACAGACGTGGGACCAGCAGTTAGCATAATGGCTATGTCGCTGGACTCCCATGTAGTCAATCATGGTTCAAGTCCCAGACCCGATGGCTTAAACTCATGCCGGGCACATGTGCATGCGTGCCCAAGATCCCGAGAGGAGAATGGAGGAGAAGGGACTGTGGCGTGGCCATCCCTCCCTCGGGGGTGATTTCTCGCTTTCTGTCTCTATGTTTCTCTCTGTCTGTCTGGCGACCACACATGCCCTATAGTGAAAACCTCTCCAAAAAAAAAGACTTGAAAATAAAAAATCTGGAGTTAATCAAATACACAGTAGGGACTCTGTACATTATTTTGACCAAAATTATAAAACAACTAAGCAGGATGGATATAAGGGAAAACAAAAAGTGAAACTGGAGACTAGGGCATGGGACCAGCAGATGGCCTAATGGTTATGTCACTGGACTCCCACGTAGGCACCACAGTTCAAGGCCCAGACCCAGCCACTTGAAACACACCAGGCATGTGTGCATGCATACCCCAAATCCCAGGACAAGACTGGAAGAGACAGAATTGCGGCATGGCCATCCCTCCAGGAGATGATTTCTTACATTTTGTCTCTCTCTGTCTCTCCAGCGAGTGCACACATCCTGTAACAGAAAACTCTCTCTTAAAAAAAAATAGAAGACTAAGTAGGCATGAGAATAAAATAAGATGTATAAGGACAAATGGACAAAGGACCAAACCAGACCTCCTAGTAAATATCTGGATAAGCTAAAGAAAAAAATACACATTAAAAAAGTGACAGTAATAATCAAATTAAGGGCCGGCAGGTGGTGTGGAGGTTAAAGCAGATGGATCCCACAAGGCTGACTGTGCAGTTCAAGTCTTAGACCTGGCAGCTTCAAAAACATGCTGAGTGCATGTATGTGCATGCCCAAAATCCCAAGAGGAGAATGGAAGAGAAAGGACTGTGGTGCAGCTATGATCCCTGGAAGGCGATTATTATCTCTCTCTCTCAATTTCTTCTCTTTCTCTCTCTAACAAACACACATGCCCTATAACAAAGCTAAAAAAAGAGAATAAACAAATTCACTTAGTAAAAATTAAATTCTGATAAATATAATGCAAAGAGAAAAAAATTTCAAAGAACTTAAGTAAAAATGATATTTAAAGTGGCACAGGGTTCTTTGAAAACATAAACAAAATTGAGAAATCTCTAGCCAGGCTAAAAATAAATAAATAAAGACAGAAGACTCAAATAAAATAAAAAACAAAAGAGAAGACATTACAACTGATACTACAGAAATATAAAGGGCCCTAAGAGACTATTATGAACAATTATATGCCTACAAATTAGATAATCCAGAAGAACTGGATAAATTCCTAAAAACATACAACCTATCAAGACTGAATCAAGAATAGAATATTTGAACAAAACAGAAGAAAATCACAGGTCCAGATGGCTTTACAGTAGAATTCTGCCAAACATTTGAAGAAATAATATCATTCCTTCTCAAACTTTCCCAAAAAATTAAAGAGAGGATACTTCCAAACTCGTTTATGTGACCAGCATTGCCTTGATATCAAAACCAAGCCAGCAGCCCAACAGATGGCATAATGATTACATCGATGAACTCCCCTGTAGTCGACTGCAGTTCAAGTCCCAAATCCGGTGGTTTAAAACTTATGCTGGATGCATGTGTGTGTGTGCCTAAAATCTCAAAAGGAGAATGGAGAAGGGATTGTGGCATGGCTATCTGCCCTGGGGAGAGTGACTTCTCACTTTCTGTCTCTCTGTCTCTGTCTCTCGCACATGTCTTATAGCAAAAATCTCTTTAAAAACTAACCAAACAAAAGAACAAAAGTGAAAAATATAGGCCAATATCCCTGCAAACATGTTCCATAAATAATACCAAACTAAATTCAACATTACATTATAAGAATCATCTATCATAATCAAGTGAGATTTATCCCTGGGATGCAAGGGTGGTTAACCATATGTGCAAATCAATAAATGTGACTGGCCATATTAACAGAACGAAGGACAAAAACCATGTTATCTCAATATATATATAGAAAAAGCACTGGACAAAACACAACATACTTTCATGATGTTAAAAAAAAAAAAAAGAAAAAGCTCTCAACAAATTAGGCATAGAAGGAATGTACGTTAATATAATATCCATATATGAAAAGGCTGCAGCTAACATACTCAACAGTGAAAACCTGATAGCTTTTCCTCTAAGATCATGAACATGAAACGTATGCTCACGGACCAGCAGTCGGAATAATGGCTATGTCAGTGTACCGCAGTTCGAGTCCGAGTACCACAGTGGCTTAAACTCACACTGGGCACACGTGCATGCATGCCCAAGATCCCAAGAGGAGAATGGAGGAGAAAGGATTGGCACGGCCATTCCCCGGGGCGGGGGGAGGGGCGTGATTTCTTGCTTTCTGTCTCTCTCTGTCTTTCTGGCAAGCACACGTGCCCTATAGCAAAAAACTCTCAAAAAAAAAAAAAATGCTCACTTTCACTACTTCCATTCAACATAATACTAAAAGTTCTAGCCAGAGCAACTAGCCAATAAAAACAAATAAAAGGCATCCAGATAGGAAAGGAAGCAGTAGTTTGTGTTTGCTGATGATATGATCTTACACACAGCAAACAATAATCACCAAATAATCCACCAAAAAAGTTAGAATCATAACTGCTCAATAAAATTTGCTGAATATATAAATTATTCTTTGAAGAATATTGGGCAACTTAAAATTATTTTCAATGTTTACCTTTTTAAGACTTTTGAAGAGTCCTATTTTATATAACATTTTCTCCAACTATTCTTACAATAGAACACCTCAAAAGAATAAAAAGATTTCTTTTACACTATGAAACTGACTAAATGGTTCTAACCGAACCAAAAATAGACAACCTTGAAAATAAACTTTCCATAACACATTGTCTCAGTATCACTTTATTAGCAGTTATTACATCAAAAAAAATTCACATTTAGGATCCAAAGGGCTATCTTAGAAAATTCTAAAGCATACGTAATTAGATTTTAACAATAAAGTAGAACTTATTCTCATTATAGTACAGCCCTTATGAAGTCAAGAATACCACTGAGAATTAAGTGCAGTTCTATCAAGAACCAGAAATGAACTCTGCATGCACTGTGTCACTTTAAGCAAAGTTCCATGAAAATATAACATACTTCTAGGAATGTGAATTATCAGTGGCAAACATCATTGGCTTCCAAACAACTGACACAAAAAGAATTTCCAATCAAAATACAAACACAGTGGCCTTCATCCAATACAGAGCTATGATAGTTCTATAAAGAAACTCTGAATCTTTAAGTACTTGTAATATGATTCTCTCCTATGACACTAATACAAAACACATCAAATCTAATGCATATATTATGACACATTATGACAACAGAATAGTAAGGAATGCCTTCTTCTGTATCAGAAATTGCTGAGCTTTCTGGTGTATATAGACTTGTCATTGCTGATCCAGTGAAATTCCACGTGCTCCAGCTTGAGCAGTATTGTAGGAGTCACAAAAATTACATTTCATGCCTAATATATGGAATTGAACTGTGGAGCGTCCATTACAGTCATTGCAGAGAATCTGAAAAGTGAAAAGATAAATTCAAATTGATTTCTTAAAATCTTACCAAGAGTCAGCAGGTGGCATGATGGTTAAGGGTACTGGATTCCCACACAGTTGACCGCAGTTCGAGTCCTGGACCTGGCAACTTGATTTCTTACTTTCTCTCTCTCTCTATGTCCTTCTCTGGTCAAATCAAAATAAATAAATAAAGTTAAATAAAATAATTATTTTTTATATATATATAAATTCATCTTTATAAGCCTAATAATTTACATAAGTAGGAATACCTTTTTTCTCTAAATACTCTAAAAGGTTAGTAAGGTAGCTTTGAATTTAGAAAATGAAAATGTAGATTTAAGCAAAAAAAAATGGCTTCTTTTAAAATATTTCCCAAATTAAAAAAAAAAATGTCCCAAATGTAACAAGTAGTATAAGCAAGAGAATTTACCTAGGCATAATCAGATCAACACTTAATACTTAGAATTAAAAATAATATACATGATTTCAATATTTTCCACTGACACATAGAAATTCTCTAAGTTAACAAAATTGAAACATCTACACATTTATATCTTTGCTTATTTTTTAGGTTTAATATACCAAGTTTCCAGTCTCCTATGCCTCAGGAATAAAATAAAGTTCAAGAAGAGTAGTCCCTAAAACTAAGTAAAAAGAGAGAAACTCTAGGCTAATCCCAAAAATGACAAAAAGATTACATTTAGAAACTCATCTCTCCTAGTGCTAAATGAGATTCTGAAAAATGAGAAAGGTGTTAACCTGAAAACAGACCAATACATTACTACGTGAGCAAAGCATGAGCTTTAGAATGGTCAGTACTGTAATAATCACATCTCCCAATTTCCTTTAAATTATGATTTGGAAAATACTTCTTTAAAAATATAATCTAGTGCTGGCTCAATGGCATAGTGGTTAAGCCCTCTGTGGAAAGTGTTGGCCAACCTCAGTTCAAATCTTGACACCAATAGATTGAGGAACACATCAGGAACATGTGTACACATGCCAGACAAGAAAGAAGCATGGAAGAAAGGGGATTCCAGCATGACCAGGCTCCACTAGAGGACATTTTTTCTCTTTCTCGCTTTTTCTCTCTGGTACACACACATGTCCTCCAGCACAAAATAAAATAAAATATGATCTAAATGGATTAGTGGTTGCCTAGGTTGGGGCGGGGGGAGGGGTTAGAAAGTGACCACTAACCAGTATGGAGCTTCTTTCTGTGATGAGAAAAATACCCTAAAATTGTGGTGATTTTTGCACACCTCCATGTGTATACTAAAAACCACTGCATTACACATTTTCTAGGAATGAGCTGCATAGCATACTGTTTGTTTGAGATTTTTCCTTTCGGGTGCATGCATTCACCATAGAGACAAAGAGACAGAAAGTGAGAAATCACCCCTCAGGGGGATGGCCACACTGCAATCCTTTCTCCTACATTCTCCTCTTAGGATCTTGGGCACACACACACACACACACACGTGCCCAGCATGAGTTTGAAGTCGCCGGTTCTGGAAGTTGAACTGCAGTTGCTACAAGGGAACCCAGCAACATAACCATGACACTATCTGCTGATCCTGTGAACTGTATCTTAATAAAGCTATTATGTCAAGTAAGTATCTACATGGAACTTGGCTCACTTCAGCCTCTAATGAAACATCGCATATCGTCAGTTAGTATGCCAAAAGTCCTTACCAGTTGGATTATCCACATGAATGATAAAACACTCCAGTGTGGAAAAGACAAAAAAATTTCCATTTGGCTTTGCTGTGTGATTTTTATCCTTGTGTATATAAATATTTGAAGAGGGGCCCACAGGTGGTGGTGTGCTTAAAGGCACTGGATTACCACTTGGCTGACCATGGTTTGAGGCCCAGACCAAACCATGGGCCTTACTTTCTCACTTTCCCTTTCTCTTGCTCTCTTCTGTCTCTCTCTGGTCAAATTAAAAAATAATAACAAATGGAATTAAATAATTTAAGAAAAGTATTTGAAGATATTCAGTTGTCCAAAAACTATCAAAGTACCAGACATTAGCTAACTTTCCCATTCTCCTCTATAACTCAATATTATGCTGAGCACACAGCAGCATATCTCAATTAAAGGAAAAGAGATGAGCATTCGCCATTGTGCAAATGGCACAGATATACTTTTACACTTCAGCCTGCAGGCTAATTAAGACCAAATAAAGAAAGTTCAAAATAGAATAAAAAAGGGTAATAACATGATAAGCCAGAAAATAATCTTTAAACATAATGTTCTCTTGAAATAAAATTTTAAATAATTCAAAATAAAGCATCAGATCGATTGTTCTCTAGTCAGTTACCTTCCTGGCAAGTAGTGTATTAAAGTTTCTGCCTGCCATGTAGTGCTGGGAAAAAACGCACAAAAGTATTGTGAGGACTGGGAACCAGCAGTTAGCGTAATGGCTATGTCGCTGGACTCCCACGTAGTCGACCGCGGTTCGCGTCCTGGACCCGG